TTGAACTTCAACATATTTATAGAACTTGACAAATACTGAGAACACTTCAGATTTATTATAAAGTGGGAAAATGCACATGTATCTTGTACAATCATCAACAAAACAACATAGAACCTATATCCCTCTATGGATTTTACAGAAGAGGGTCGCCAAACAACAGAGTGTATTCTATCAAATGGTAAAACACACCTAGAACCATCATTAGAGAATGGTTATCTAGTAATTTTCCCATGAATACAATCAGTGCACATTGCATGCTTATTATCATTAGTTACTGGAGTTTTAGACTTAGCTAACATAACTGCCAACACTTCATTTGTAAGGTGTCCAAGCCTTTGATGCCACAGTGAAGACTTTACTAACTACCCAATGAATGCACTTGGCTCCTTCCATGATGACACAAGAATCTGAAACAGTTCTTGAGGCCTACTCCTTCCTTTGTACAAGATCTCCCTTGTTACCTTGTCCTGCACAAAGAAATATGTGTTATCACAGATAAACCAACACCTATTGTCTTTGCATAATTATTTAACAGACATAAGATTGACAGCAATAGATGGAACATTTAGGATATTTTTCAAAATAATTGCATGATATGGTGTTTTGACAACTGTGGAACCAATATTTTGAATTGGCAAACCTTGACCATTGCAATCTTAATTTTCTCTAAACCTTCAAATGGAGAGACATGATAGAGACTAGCAAGATCGGAAGTCATGTGATGAAAAGCTCATATGTCCATAATCCAAGTTGCAGGATTAGAGTATGATGGTGAAGCTTGCGCAGACATGCCTTGCATTTGATAAGACAGATTAGGCATAGGCAAATTCTGGAGAATTGCATGAGGTGCAGGTGCTAAAACTTGATAAGAATAATGAGCAGCATAATTTGATGGCTGTGGGATTGGATGAGGTTGACCTTGATTCAAAGAAGCAAGAGCAGTAGGTGGTGCAGATGGTTGATATAAGTAATCAGCCCTGTGATAGCACTCAAGTGTAATATGGCCTATTTTCCCACAAATTTGACACTCAATCATGAAATGTGGTGAATTATTTTGAGAGTTTCTGTAGAAACAAGTAGGTGCAGTATGCCCTCTCCACTAATAAATCTGACACTTAGGATGCAATGTAATTCTTGATTCAGTATTACCATTCTAACCACTGTTGTTTTGTAGTTGTTAGAGCTCTTGCCTTTTTATCTAGACCTGTAATTGCCATTTCCCCTTGATTGCCCACCATTGTAGAATCTCTGTTAGCCATTGTTGCTATTTAAAGTTATCAGATGATGGATCCATATGACCCAAAAAACCAATACTCGGACCATATGAAGTTTGATCTGGAGAGTATGTTAGTTGTCCCATTTGAGACTATGAACCAAATGACACATGTTGTGGCAACAGACTCAAATAGTACCACCAGTACTTGATAGATCACTTGCAGAAGAATTAGAACTAGATGCACCACTGCTATAGTGAGAACTTGCACTAGCACTAGTATTATGCATATTTAAAGTCGCAATACCCTATGTTAGAAAATTCAATACAATATCATTTTCCCTTTTAGCTCCCAGTAGCAGTGCCCTAAATTCTTTCTTGGTAATAGTGGACTCTTTTGCAAGAATCACAGTTCTTATTGTGGCATATTCTTTTGGTAACCCAGCAAGAGCGGCAATCATAACATCTTTATCAAATATATATTCTCCAGCAGCAATCAATTAATCCTTTATAGATTTGATTCTCAACAGGTACTTATCCATTGAATCACCACCTTTTTGCATCGTGTGCAACTTAGTCTTCAAATGATTCACACCAGTTTTAGACACAGATGCATATCTGTCTTCAAGATTAGCCCATGCTTCAACAGCAGTCTTGAACCCAATTATATGTTCAATAGCATCATCTGATAGTGTAGCCATTAACAAACATAACAAAGCCAAATCTATAGTCTCCCATTCTTGAAAAACATCTGTTACTTCTTTGGTAATCCCAGTTTCAGCACTCACCACAAACTTAGATAGACAACTTGTAGACCCATCAAAATGATCAAACAATTTGTATCTTTTAAGGACCGACTTAAATTGAAAGGACCTCTTAGTGTAATTGTGATCATTCAACTTAATGATTAATATTCCCAACAAACCCTTAACTTTCATAGAAGAATAAGCCATATCTAACCAATTCCAAGAAGTAATCTTTGACAAATCCTTAAACAGTCTTTGAACAATCTTCGAAAAACAATCAACTTTTATCCAATTATACAACTATAAACTTGCTTGAATCACTGGCATTGGCCTTTTAGATTCTTTCTTTACATAGAGTAAATGTCATTGGCCTTCTCAGAACATTTAATGTAAAGTAATTCAATCAATCTACAAGTATTGGCATTGGCTTTCACAAACATACAAGGAAATCTACCAACTACACTATCTCATCAAACATATCAAAACACCAGAAGACAAGTAACTCAATTGTATCAATTGATTTCTTAGCAAATCTTCAAGAAAATATTATATACCATAGAACCCAAATACAGAACCTGTAATTTCTTCTGATTTGACTGTAGTTTCATAAAACAATGAAGAACCTAGTCACCGAGATCCGAAATCGCTCGAAGAACCCAATCATCGAGATCAGCAATTACTCAAAGAACTTCACACGAAGATTCCAATTTGCCTAAAAAACCCCAATTTCTAGAATAGTAACAGCCAAAACACATAACCTAAAGGACTTAATCGCCACCCACAGAAGATCGCAGGCTTGATATCATGATAACCAAATCAAATATGTAGGAGAAATCACAGATGTACAAAGAAAATCACAATGATGATGAACAAAGGAAGCAAGAAACTAAGAACTCTAGAGAGAGAAACGAGTGGAAGATGAAAGAGTAATTGTATTGAATGAATCCAAATGTAACAGATCACATCAGTTATATCCAAACAATTCTAACTAACTTGCTTATTTGGCAATCATATACATCTCTCCTTATTTCTCCTTATCATGCTCTAACCATTCAATGATTGCCACTTGTACATTTTAGTTATTATATATATATATATATATACATACATATATATTGGATAATTTGATTACTATTTTTTATATGTAATTTTATTTTGAACATGTCAATTTAAATTAAAGTAATTAAAAAAATAAAATCATACAATTAAATTAAATTCAAAAAGTAAAAATTCAAAAAACCTTGCAGTACCAAATATTTCGTTGCGCAAACAATTAATATAATTAAATTTATATAAGATAAATAATAAAACAAAAAAGTCAAAAACCTTATGCGACAAAATATTTCATCACGCAAAATATTAAATTAATTTATTTTAATTAAAAAAATAAAAAAACAAAAATCTTTGCACAACAAAAACTTCGTTGCGCAAAGCTTTGCGTGACATTAGTCTTCATCGCGCAAAGTAGCTTTGCGCGACGAAGATTAATTTTTGTCGTGCAAACCCTATCTTCACGAGCTTTGAGAGACGAACCATGCTCGACCAAAATTTCGTCGCGTAAAGTTTTGTGCAATGAAATTGTACTTTGCGCAACAAACTTATTTCGATGCGCAAATTGTATTTTGTAGTAGTGTTATAAATACCTAAAAAATTAAGAATTTGATTATGTGGGGAATAGTTGATCCCATCATATTCATTCTCTTTCCTTTTCCTAATTTTTCCTTCCAAAAGAAAACATGTACAGTTGTATAGGTTTTTTTTAGGGTGTGGGTGTTTTTTAGTATATTTATTTAGTCATGTGATGCTAGAGGGATAAAAATGTTAAATTAAATTTACACATCAAATGATATGTTAGCAATAAGAAATAAACACGTTAATCAACGTTTAAGTAATTATCTAATCATCAACAATCACATCATTTGGTTTTCAAATTTGATTTAAATTTTTTTGTTTTCCCAGTATTATTCTACTCATTAAAAAGCCAAATGATAAGAGAATGCAGACATAGACTAGCCAAGTTTGTTATATATTCATTCTCTTTCTTTGTTCTTAGGTTAATAAGGTTAAAATTGTCCTTGCATGGTGGGGTAAATAAGTTATTTAATATTAAATTTTAATATAGATGATGCATTCAACATTTTGTAGGGTGTTAATATAAAAAACCTTGTTCTTATTGTACTCTGTTTTTGCCTACAAATTTGAACCTCTTTTTTCTGTAGTTTACATGAATTCAATATAGAACATGTAATGTAAAATAAAATAATAAAAAAGGGCAAAGAGAGTGCGTCAGGTAGAGTTGACCCAAACTTTTAAGTCAAGTTGGAAAGAAAGGAAAGCAGAACCGGTGGTGGTTTTCATCAACTGCATAACCAGGTAGGTCTGAGTTGCTAGTTTTTACTTGGAGATTCCACATTACAAGGGGCGTTCAAAACCCTACTATATACATTTCAATGCAAATGGGATCGTTTACCCAATCGGGAATGTTTCTAGCTTAGCTGGTTTTGTAGGGGCCGAGTGTGCAATGATGTCCCAAAAATTCAAGTCCATTTAAGGAAATTGAAACTTATAAGGAAGTTAAAACAGCTCCAAACAAATACAATACCAAATTACAAATCCATGGGTCGTCTAGACTGCCATGGTTTAGCACACGTGGCAGCAGCCCACGTGGTCTCAACTATTAGCTGGCTGTTACGTTGATGGCTGAAGACGGCGCCACTGGAAAAACAGGAGTATTCTACGTAATACGTGCCCCCCCCGGGTGCAAATACACTTATAGAGAGAGAGAGAGAGAGAGAGAGAGAGAGATGGAGAAGGGGTGGAGGAGACGGTGGGGACCGGCTGGTGGGGTGGTGAAGTGGTGGTGGCGGTGGCTACACATTGGGATATCAACGGATTGTTGGTCCTACCATCTTTTGGGTTAGGGTCCCCACGCCTCGGATGTGGGCCCCAGAATAAGGAGTATTTTTTGGAGGCAATGGGTCTTGGTTTGGAACCATCCGGTTACTGCAACTATAAATATACCATTCAGGGTTATGTCTCTCTCACATCCATACATACACTCTTACACAGACAGAAGACGCGCGCACTCTCTCTCTCTCTCTCTCTCTCTCTCTCTCTCTCTCTCTGAAGAACTCTGGCTTTGCTTTCTTTCTTTATATTAAGCAAGCACTCTGTTTCTTCTCCTCTGTTCTTCGGCAACACCGCCAAATCTTTATATTCTCACTCCTCAAATCCTTTTTTTTCAAGGTCTTGCTTCAAGAATTCATTAATTTTTTTGAATGGGTTCGTTTTAAGTTTTGATTTGGTAATCATATTAGACATCAAATACCACCTCACCATTTCTAACTGACACATGTTTTTTGGGTTGTTTGAGTAGATATGACGAAGCAGAATGTGGTAGTTTCCCAGCCCGATGCCGAAATCATGAACATGGCGATATCGGTGGCTGTGGCCAACTCTTCCATTTTCACGGCGGTGGCCGAAAAGCCTCCAGTGGGACCTCCAGGGTACATCTCCATTTCTCGAAGGAGGTTCGTGAACTTGAAGAACCTTGACAGTTTCAATGGAGCTGAAAGAATTAACTCTTGGGTGGACTCAATGAGAGCTTCCTCTCCCACCCATATAAAGTCCTCATCTTTTCTGAAAGAAGATTGGATTGTGAGTTCCATTTTGCAAAATTTGTCTTCTTTACCAGGTCAAGATCAAATTAATAGAAAATATTAGGTTCTAATTTTGTAATATTGGTAAAATACAAAAACAGCGTCAGCACCCATCGGCCTTGGACATGTTTGAGCAGATTATCGATGCTTCAAAAGGGAAGCAAATAGTCATGTTTTTGGACTACGACGGCACACTGTCACCCATAGTTGAAGACCCAGATCGAGCTTTCATGTCTGATGCAGTAAGTGTATATATATACATATATATAATATATATATATATATGTGTATGTATCATCTTTCAGTCTTATCCTTCTTTTCTTTCTTGTTTTCTATCCGGTCCATGTTTCTTAACTTTTGTGTAAAAAACACAGATGAGAAAGACAGTGAAGAAAGTTGCTAGATCTTTTCCCACAGCCATAGTGAGTGGAAGATGCAGAGATAAGGTATTACATGTATTTTCAAGCTCCTTTTAGTCACTACTTACATATCTTTTACTGCATTTTTTAAATAATTTTTTTTCTTCCAGTTTTACTTGATTAACTGTATATTTTGTTTCTGGAAATTGTGAACTGTAGGTCTACAAATTTGTAAGATTGGCAGAGCTGTACTATGCTGGTAGCCATGGCATGGACATTAAAGGTCCAGCAAAAGGCTCCAAATACATGAAAGTGAGTGTGTGCTTGTACTGTATTATCAGTGTCACCCTCATCTCCTTCCCACTAAAAAGAAATAAAAGATAACAATTATCACTATTACAATCTTTTATTCAAATTTTTTTTTATAAATATTTTATTTATTTTTAATTACTCTTTAGGGTAGTCAAGGTATTCTTTGCCAACCAGCAAGTGAGTTTCTTCCAATGATAGATGAGGTTTACAAATTGCTTGTTGACAAGACCAAATCAACTCCTGGAGCCCAAGTGGAGAACAACAAGTTCTGTCTCTCTGTGCACTTTCGATGTGTTGATGAAAAGGTATTCACTTGATTATAACAACTGGTTCATGAGAAATATATATTGATTTATTTCAATTCACTTTATTAATATATTTAACACATGACGTTACAGAAATGGAACGAACTGTCGTTGCAAGTTAGGTCAGTTCTGAAGGAGTACCCAATGCTCAGACTTACCCAAGGAAGAAAGGTACGTTTATGTTGTGACATCTACTTGCCATCCAGACAATTGAATCTTGAAGTTTCGTTTTGGTTTATTAATTTAACTTCTTTTTTTTTTCTTGTTGGTCAATTTAGTAATATATGTGGTGTAAGTGGGATTTGTATCTTACTTTGAATATTGCTACTTGTCTAATGCAGGTCTTAGAAATCCGTCCTACCATCAAATGGGACAAAGGGAAGGCTCTTGAATTTCTACTAGAGTCACTCGGTGAGTATATTTGCATTGGACTGTATTCTAAATTTTTTTATACTACTCAACTTTGCATTGGTAGTTGGAATATTTGCAGTCCTAAAAGAAAACTACACCTCTCATTATTTTATTTTCTAACAGTTATATTGTTAAAAAATTAATATTAGAATCATGTGCGATGCTTTTTCTCTTCTCATCGACAAATTAATTGAGGTAGCAATTATCTTTGAATATGTAGGATATGCCAAATGCACCGATGTATTTCCTGTATATATTGGAGATGATCGAACGGATGAGGATGCATTCAAGGTATTAAGAGAAAGAGGACAAGGTTTTGGCATTCTCGTCTCAAAAATTCCCAAGGAAACCAACGCCACTTATTCTTTACAAGAACCAGCTGAGGTGAGTGACCACTGTATTGTTGTACTTATGTATATCTTCATTTGATTTCATTGGTTTTTTTTTTTTTTCCTTCATGTTTTTGGGTTATTCTTATTTTTATGAATTTAGCATATATATTTTGGCTTTAGAGTTAACTTTATTTGTTAATTATTTTGCAAAGGTTATGGACTTTCTTCAGAGATTGGTTGAGTGGAAACAAAAATCAGTACGATCCCATGCTATGCTGTAAAAGAGTTTGAAGATATAAATATATTCGAATGCACCCTTCCAAGAATTGTCCAAGGGGGTGGTTAATTTAGTCAGATAATGTAATTTTTTTTTGAGGTTAAGTTTGGAAAAGCTCAAGAAAAAGAAAAAGAATTGTAACTTTTCTTGGCTTCAATTCCTTGTACATTTTGTGACTATCCTGTACAAGGAATATATATATGTAATCTGGCAAGTTTGTAAATGGAATTATCTTATTTCTCTCTCTATCCAAAGTTAATTTATCTCTCTTTATTGTGACAAAACAAATCATAAAGACGTGCCTAATCCTATCGAAAAAAATCTTTCATTATCTGTTTGATCTTTTAATGTTATGTGATTCGACTAAGCAGCCGTTCTGTTAACAAACTAGCAGAGTCCTTAGAGTTATTACCTAAGGTTGTGAGATAATATAGGTAATTGTCCAAGTAGGATACATATTGGTCACTTCCTTCAATATAACCAGAAAAAAAAAAAAAAAAAAAAAAAAAACCCAACACAACACACATAAATTACACTTTTTTTTGCTATCTATTGAAGCTTACGTGAAGGAAGTTGACATTTAACTTCAAAGTTAAGTGGAAATAGTGAAAGTAGCTTACCTATTCATAAATTCATGGAAGGTATCTTGTGACAAGTTCCGTTATGTGTGGTGACACTCAATCGAAAAACATACTTAACATATATCAATCGGTTTCCATTCATGAACTAACATGCTCAAATACCATGAAGCCATAAAAAATATCAATGTCCCACCCTAAAGTTAATTAACAATAAAAGAGTAACTCAACTCCTTACATGCTCAATATCCCATGCAAGACAACACTTTAGATCCGCACAACAAGAAACAACGTACAAATAAATAAGTATTGATTGTGTACATTATTTAAATCGTGCAATGTTATTTAAATCTCACAAGAATAAGCCGCCTAACTTGTAACTTGTAAGAAAGATTAGGTGCTTTATTGCTTTGAGATTTTTTTCGAGGTCCATTGACTATGCAAAATAGGGAAAACTGCAGTCTCGGTTGTGATTTTGGTGCTTGTATCTACCTTTATATATAAACGTAAATTGCTTTGAGATTTAGTGTTTAGAGTTCGATTTGAAAATATAATTAAATGTAAATATAACATGATATTATAATTGACATAAGTCCTTTAAGAAAGCTAGAAGAACACTAAAAATGCTGCAAACAATAAATTAAATGAAAGATAACATGATATATGTTCCATAAGTCGGCATTTTGGCACTAATGCACTTTTTGGGCTAATTTCTGCATCAAGTATAAATAAGCATATTAATTCCCACTGGATAAACACTGATATATCTTGCATGCAAAAGAAAACCAGCAAAGAACATGCAAGTCTCTAAAGGGACATGGATTAGATTTTAGCCTTAATTACCCGATGAAGTATCCATCATTTGAGGATAAGATTACACACGAACGCCATATTAGTGATTGGACCATTGAAGAGATTCAGGTAGTGTGAGGGCCCTCATTAACTAAGACCCAAGATTCTTCTTTGCCTTTAATCGCATGTACATGTCATTGCTGAGTCAAAAAGATTCATTAACTAGCTAGATAGATATTCTGGTTTGTTTGTATTTTTTGTTTTGTTTTATAATCAAAGTGTTATATATTAATATTTTTTTTTTTACAAGATGCCATACAGTGATATTTCAGTAAACACTATTGCTTCAAGAAAAAATAACCAAGAAATTGATTTGAAGTGAATATGCTCAAATAAATAACTTAAGCAAACCCTTACAAGTAGGGATGGCAATGGGGCAGATTGGGTTCAGATGTGCTATCCTCCTAACCGAATCTGTTTGTTTTCCCTGTACCCGAAACCGTAAAAAACCCGAACGAGTATTCCCCGTAACTGGATCCGTTGGGTAACGGATTCCCATTTTATGAATTTATGATATTTTCATTCTTATGAAAAATGAAGCAAGTTTACAACTAGGGCTGGAAAAAAATCCCAAACCGAAATTCCCCAAAATTTCGGTACCCAATACCGAACCAATCCCGAAATTTCGGTACAGGAATCGGTCTCAAGTTTTTGGGATTTCGGTATTCCCAAACCGAACCGAAAAAAAATATATATTATTTAATTTTTAAATATATATTTAGATCGATATAGTCCATAGAAAATGAAGGCTTCAATAGTTGCACATATTTCTGTATGAATGATTTAAATCGACAGAGTCTTGCAATTGTAGCATCTACATTTGAATCCAGATTGGCAAAGTCTTGCAATTGTAGCATCTACATTTAAATTGACATAACTTGCAATTGGCACATATTGCAACAGGCTTCTTAGCAGATTGCAACCCAAAAGTGTTAAAAGGTTCAATTTTAGCCCAAAAACATAATATTTTAGTCCAAAAGCCCAAAAGCCCAAAAACCCAAAATCATTTCGGGATTCCCGATTTGTCCCAAAATCCTGAAACTATTTCGGGATTCCCAAAAATTGGGATTCCCAAAAATTTGGTTTGGGATCGGTATTGAAATTGGGATTCCCGAAATTTTTGGTTTGGGAATCGGGACAAGGGTTTCGGTATGGGATCCCATACCGAACCACCCCTAATTACAACACACTTGCTAAAATTTAACTGATTAAACAGTGATTCTTAAACAAACAAAATGGACAATATAAGGATCATATCCAAAACATCAACCACTTTCAAATTGAAATCTTAAAAGCATAACAACAATACTTAGATGTTCTAGAAAATTTGATCATAATTCAATATACTCTAGCAAAAAACAAGAAATTCAGGAGCGAAAAAGAAAAGAAATCCAAAATGCTCCATCTAATGCCTTGCCCACATAACTTAATAACAACCAATATTTTTCTTGTGTCCACAAAACAAGCAGCCATAATTCATGATGTTCCAGTTCCTCCCTCATGACCATCTTCACATAACCCCTTCAATGAAAACAATGAAAAAGAAATAAGCATGATTTAAAAAATATTCAATTACAAAAATTTAATATGCATAATTCAATGTATGTACAATTTGGTGTAAATAACTATGAAAAAATAAATAAGTCAATGTATGTAACTATTCAGTAACAAAAATATAATATGCATGATTACCAATACTTACCTCATCCACATCCATATCCTCAAAGTTTGAGCAGCAGCTACTATGTTCATCAGAAGATGAAGCTGTTTATAAAAGAGCAAACTTACATTAGTTTGTAAATTGAAAGTATATTAATAAAGTAGATTTAGTACATAAGAGCAAAAAATATAATACAACGCAGATAATATTAAGAGTTTGAGTACCTTTAATTTCACTCCATAACCAATCTTGAGCACATATTAAAGCTTCTAACGTCTTCCGATGAAGTCTATTATGATGGGGACTTACAAACCTCCCACCAATACTAAAAGTCGACTCAGAAGCAACTGTAGACACTGGAATAGCCAAAATATCTTTGGCCAAAGAGCTTAAGATTGGATTCTTAGTCACATTTGATTTCCACACAAAATGTCTAAGTTAGATGTTCAGGCAAAGCAGTCTCATCCAAATAGTGATCAAGTTTTTACTTCACATTATCTGTGGTCATCGTACTAGACACAAAGCGATCATAATTGTCCATTAAAGGATCATTATCTTCAAATTCAAACAAATTCAAGTGTGATGAAGAAGCAAATGATGTTTGAGACCCCATGTTGGAATTGTGATTGGACCCATAATCTTTCACCAACTCATAACGAATGTTGCGAATTTTCTCAATTTCACTTGAAGCACTTCTTCCATAGATAAGAGGAAAAAAATATTCAATCAACTTCATCTTAAATCTGGTATCCAAAACAATTGTTATAGCCATTACTTCATTAATTACACTCTAATACTTATCAAACTTCTCAATCATGTTCACTGCCATATGTTTTATTTCATCATATGGAGAGTTAAGCCACCGAGACAATGAAATTCTAATCTCACAGATTTTTGGAAAATAAAGATTGGCAGTGGGGTATTTAGTTCCATAGAACAACTCTAAGATATTATAAAACAATTTCATCTTCTCACAAGTCTCTTTTCCCATCAACCAATCTTTCTCCTCAAGCAAACACTTATATTGTGATTCTCGTTGTTTTAAAAGATAAAAAACATCCTTGTAGATCAAGGCAATTTGATTCATAAAAAACGTGGAATTCCACCGAGTCTTACAATCAAGCACCAACTTCTTTGTGCTTGGAATTTTCAATTGACGTGCTGCCTTTTCAAACTTTTCCTTTCTCTTTTGTGTTGCTAACCAATAAGAAACACTATCACGAATTTTCTCAACACTGCTACCAATCACTTTCAAGCCATCCTTAACAATCAAATTTAATATATGAGAACAACAACGCATATGAAAATTTCTTCCAGCTAGCAAAAGTGAACTAGTAGAAAGCTTTTCAAACATCTTTTTCGATCATGGAATCATTCGTAGTACAATTATCAACAGTTAAGGTAGAAAGCTTATGATTAAGGTTCCAATCTAGCAAACAACCCATCAAAGCATCTGAAAATGTCTCAGTGGTATAGGGACAAGGTACATAGATAAACCTGAAGAAAAAATTACAAGAAAAATAATTACTAAAAAGAATCCAATCAAGTTTTATACCATCTACCTTTTAGACTCGCAATCACAATTTGAAAAACACCTTATGAAACTACCAATCTTGACATGGGAACCCCTCTGAAATATGGTACAACAATGATCACCATCTTAGTAAATTGGCTAGGTTGTTTAGTTGTTTTAGATTAGGTGTTGGTACCTTGGGCAAGGATGATGCAAAAGATATGAAATATTTTTTTCTTCAAACTTTGGACATATTTTTTTATTAGATACTTCGTACTATATCTACCTATAATTTATGCTTTTATGTTTTCGGAATCAAAAGTCTAAGTTTCAGTTTTTTGTCTCTGAACAATCCTAAAATTACAAGTTAAGTGAGCAAGATAATAATATAAAATATAATAACCTTATAATTCGGCTCTGCAACAACCAAGAATCATCAATAAAATGTGTTGTAATCACTACGTATCCCCTTTTCTAGTTATTTGCAGTCCACATATCAGTAGTTATAACAACTTTGCCTTTTATCTTGTCCAACAATTGCATTGTTTTGGACCTCTCATAATAAAAAATTTTAAAAATATCAATCCTGATTGTGTTTCTTGACACCAACTTGAATAGCGGTTGAACAGTACTCATGAACCTTCG